ATAAAATATTTGTCGGTACATTCTATTACTTTTTAAGGACCATCATATGGTTGTTGTAGAGGTTTACGGACTGCATCGTGACGTATGAAAACATGTGTAGTAGAATTAAGATCTTTACTCACAAAAGATTTTTGTGTTACTGGAAGTCGAGTAGGAACAGGACTGAGTTTACCCATTACTGATTTGAGTTTAGTAACATTGGTTTCAGAATCGGTGAAATCGGAATGGGAAGGTGAAAAGAATTTACCAGGTAACCTTAAACTAGTACCATAGACTAATTCAGCTGCAGAACATTTTAACTTTTCCTTGACAGCTGTACGAATTCCTAATAAGACAAGGGGTAGAGAATCAGTCCATGAATGAGAGTGAGTTTGTGCCTTGAGAGCCCCTTTCAATTGTCTATGAAAACGCTCTACAAGTCCGTTAGCTTGTGGGTGGTACGACGTTGTCCTGAAACGTTTTGTTCCCAATAGTGTCATCAACTGTGTCCACAGGGATGATTCAAATTGTCTTCCCCTATCAGTAGTAAGAGTAGAATGGACACCAAAACGAGATATCCATCCCATAAGTAAAGTTCTTGCCACTGTTTCAGCAGATATATCGGTCATTGGGAAAGCCTCTGGCCAACGAGTGAATCGGTCCACACAAGTTAATAAATAACAGTAATTGTGAGAAGGAGGAAGGGGACCAACTATATCAATGTGGACATTATCAAAACGAGCGACAGGAGAGGGGAAAGAAGAAAGAGGAGCAACGCTGTGTCTCTGTACTTTAGAGAGTTGACACTGTAAACAGGAACGGGTCCACCGCTTAACATCAGATTGTAATCCAGGCCATACAAAGCGTGCAGACACTAGTCTCTGAGTTGCTTTAATCCCCGGATGAGAAAGAGAGTGAAGTGACTTGAAAACAGTCTGACGAAAAGGGCGTGGTACTACTGGGCGTGGTGTTCCTGTAGACATATCACAGACAATGGTGCCGCTTGTATATTGAAGAGGAACAGATTGAAGGCAAAGAGATGAATCAGATGAGGTCTGAGCAAGGAAATCATCTTCTTGTTGAGACATAGCCATTGCCTGATAATCCACGATTGCAGGAGATGTTAAACCTAAATTGTTTAACTCGACTCGAGACAGAGCATCAGCCACAGGATTACATTGACCATTGATATGACGGATGTCAGTAGTGAACTGGGATATGTAATCCAAGTGACGGATTTGTCTTGGAGAATACCTATCAGACTTTGTATGAAAAGAAAAAGTTAATGGTTTGTGATCAGTCAATACATAAAAGGTGCGACCTTCTATAAAATGTCGAAAATATTTAATGGCCTGATATATTGCCAGTAACTCTCTGTCAAAAGTGCTGTACTTTCGTTCTGCTGGGGAAAGCTTTTGCGAGAAATATGAAATAGGTTGCCACTGGCCATTAATGTACTGTTGTAATGCTGCTCCCACAGCCACATCAGAGGCATCAGTCATAACTGATGTTAATGCATTGGGCTTAGGGTAAGAGAGATAAGTGGCCTCAGCTAAAGCAGTCTTTGCTTCATTAAAGGCTGCAATACATTCACTAGACCACGTTATGTCTGTATTAGATGGTGTATTAGACAGTAATGTGTGCAATGGTGTAAGTACCTGGGCACAATGAGGAATGAATCGATGATAGAAGTTAATTAGGCCCAATAATTCCCGTAGCTTTCGTTGCGACTTCGGTAGTGGGAAGTTTTGAACAGCAGAGACTTTGGAGTGTAATGGTCGAATACCAGACTTATCAATGGTATGGCCTAAGAATGTGAGTGTACTAACACCAAACTCACACTTATTCGGGTTAATAATAATTCCATACTCCCTGAGGCGTGTGAAAACCTCTTGCAAATGCTTTTTGTGTTCAGCTTCATTAGCACTGGTGATTAGCACATCATCAATATAGGCATATGTATGATACAAGCCTTGAAGTACCTTGTCGATAAATCTTTGGAAGGTTTGAGCTGCGTTTCGTAACCCGAATGGCATTCATACGAATTCAAATAATCCGAAAGGAGTAGTGACTGCTGTTTTGTGAATATCATCAGGATGGACAGGTATCTGATGATACGCTCGGACTAAATCGATTTTAGAGAATATAGTGCACCCATGTAAAGAGTTAGCAAAATCCTGTATGTGCGGTATAGGATACCGGTCAGGCAAAGTAACAGCATTAAGAGCTCTATAGTCTCCACATGGTCTCCAATCCCCATTGGGTTTTGGGACCATGTGAAGTGCCGACAACCAGGAACTAGAAGACGGTCGAATTACACCCAGCTCTAACATATGATCGAATTCTGCTCGAGCAATTCGTAAACGCTCTGGTGGGAGACGTCTCGTTCGAGTATAGACTGGTGATCCTGAAGTTTCGATGAAATGGACGATGTCATGTTTCACCGGTGACTTGAAATTGTGAGGATGAAAGAGTTCAGGAAAACCTAAAAGGATAGAAGAGAAAGAATTAGAAGAAAGGAGAGGGTTAAGAGTGAGACTGTGTGTATGGTGGTGGTGAGTGCACAGCATGTTAGTTTGTAATCGAGTCTGAGTGTCAATAAGGACTTTGTGACGGACATCAACTAATAGACCATGGTGCTCCAAGAAATCAGCTCCCACAATAGGATGCTTTACATCAGCTACTATGAATATCCAACGGTAAGGTCGGCGCAATCCTAAATTAAGTGTAAGTGAACGGGATCCATATGTATATATCTGTGTATTGTTAGCAGCTTGAAGTGTAAATCCTCTGCACCCTTGTAGTTTATCAGCTTTACTTGGAGGCAATACACTGACTTCTGCTCCTGTATCCACCAGAAAACGTCGGCCTGAGGACTTATCTGTTATGAAAAATAGGCGACTGTTGATAGGGCCGGGCGCACTTGTCGCCGTTAGTGACCGGCCTGTCCGTTTTCCTGCTCCCATGAACATGGTTGATTGCACCTAGCAGCCTTTTTTCCATAACGCGAGTGATACCAACATACACTGGATCCTCTATTGGGTGGGCCAGGACTAGGAGTGCGATGTTTCTTGGGACTCTTTTGACGCTGGAAAGAAGAATGAGAGAGAGATTTGACCATACTTTTGAGACTTGCAATCTCTGTGCGGAGTTGTTCCATCTCTGATGACAATTGATCAGTCTCAATAGTTGAAATATGAGGCGTGGCTACTTCTACTACTCTGTCAGCCAAGGTAGCTAAGGTTTCCAGGTCTTCAGACTCATTTGTTGATGCTAAAACCATCCTTACGTTAGCAGGAAGCCGTTGTAGAAAAAGTTCTCTCACAAAGGAAGGATCGGCTGAAGCGGCCTTATCACCTAATAGTTGCTTCATACGTCATAGTAACTGAGATGGCGTTCTATCTCCTAACTCTTCACTGCTAAAAAGTTGTTGGAGCGTTTCTGCTCTGAAGCTGTAGTACGTTTAATGAGCTGTTCTCTGAGAGCATCATATGGGTCAGTAGAAGGAGGTTTGAGTATAAGATCTCGAACCTCTGTTGCAAACTCCGGAGTAAGTGAAGCAACGACATAATCAAACTTAGATTTCTGAGTAGTGATGCCTCTAGTCGCGAATTGAGCGTCAACCTGGGCGAACCAAACCTCCGGGTCTGATGGCCAAAAGGGTGGTATCTTGATAGCCACGGCTGTAACCACTGGAGTAGGACCAGGGGCAGAAGGAGAAGAAGAGCGAGACATCTGGGTCACCAATGTTAGACTTTAGTTACTAACTATTTATTTATCATATAATATCAACTCAGAGTTAACAACAAAACACGATTAGTGGTGATGAAGGAAAGGAGACAGAAGAGAGTAGTAATGGACACAAGAGAGAGAATGAGTTCTAATGTGCGCATGCGTGAAAAATAATTACAAAAATAATAATAATGAATAACTATCAGTCTACTGTAAAACATTAAGATAATAATACTAATGATCAATTTTACCCTTCACTATAAACTAATTTTTTTGTAGCTGAAATACTAGAACTAATACTAGAAATAAAATTATTTATTTGAAGTACTAGAACTAATACTAGAACTAAAATTATTTATTTGAAGAACTAGAACTCTATACTAGAACTAAAATTATTAATCCTGAAATACTAGAACTAATACTGGAACTACAATTATTAACCTCCTTAGAACTAGAACTAATACTAGAATTGAAAATATTGGTTACAAACTACTACAATAAACAGGTGAACATGTTTTTAGGCAAAGCCTAGCTGTTACATTTTTATATAAACTGTACCAGTGACATTTCGATCATTTTATTGACAGCAGTAAAACTCATTACTTTGTGTATATTGCATTTGATGCACATTTGAAACATAACTCAGCAATATAACAAAAAAGATTTTAGTTAAGAGCTACTACTGATATTTAAATTACTCCAATTTTTGGCATGGCTTAACTGGAATGTAAGTATTGGAGGCTTTATTTCTAAACTAATACTAGAACAAAAATTACTATAATTTTAGTTTAAAGTATAACTAGAACTAAAATCACAGTATTTCTAGTCAAAAAAACTAGAACTAGAACTAAAATCATTGTACTTTTAGTCAAAAAACTGGAACTAGAACTAAAAT